GCTATGGATCATCCGTCTATTCCTCCTCACAGACTCTCTGGCCACCCCCACAGCCCAGCCTTCCTCACCCTTCACCTCCACCTCCCAGCAATGTCTCCCTGAGGTGAATCCCTCACAGCCCAGCACACAGGGCTCAATGTAAAATCTCTCAGGGTTGTTGGGCAGTCGCTGCCACGTGTCTCCCCATCTCACACTTTTCCGATCCTCAGACAGGATGAGTTTAGGATGAGCCGTGTCTGGATCCAGAGTCACATTCGCTGGGGAGAGAGAATCAGAGCGTTAGGGGCAGAGCTCAGCCCTGGGGGAGTCTGGGACCATTTCTCACACTCCCCAGCAGCCCTGTCCTGGTTGGGACAGTCCTGGATCCACGGCCGTTCTTAGACATATGCAGCATATGCAGCTGCATAGGGCACTATGAAATTTGGGGCACCAAATTGCCCCATGGTGCCCTAGGCAGCTGCGTGCTGCATATGCGGCAGCACCAGCCCCAGCGACCAGCCCCTTGGGCAGCACCCCCGTGGGCTGTGCCCACCAAGGCCATCTCCAGCATTTCTGCCACCCCAAGCAAAAAAAAAAGCTGCAATCAGCGGCGGGAGTTCAGCAGCGGGTCCTTCGCTCCTAGAGGGAGTGAGGGACCTGCCGCCCCTGAATTGCCGCACATGCTGCCCCTCTCCCTTGGCCGCCCCAAGCACCTGCTTGTTAAGCTGGTGCCTGGAGCTGGCCCTGGTGCCCACTGCAAGGGTCAGGGCCGTCCCTAGGGGGGCATGGGCCCCGGACAACTCCCTCCACCCTACCTCTTACCCTTACCCCCGCTCGGCCCCCGGCCTGCCCCCATTCCACCTCTTCCCCCAGCGACCCTGCACTCACCAGCAGCGGCAGGAAGCAGAGCGACGCGGGCCCAGCCTGCTCTACTCCGCCAGCTCCCAGCTGCGGCGCTCCACTTCCGGCCACGGGTGAGAGCAGGGGGAGGTCCTTTCCCCAATCCCCCCCCATACCCTACCCAACTGACCCGTCTGGGACCGGGATTCCGGGATGAGGGAAGCGGGGCAGGCTGTGGTCGTGTCGCTCCGCTTCCTGCTGCCGGTAAGTGCAGGGATTGGGGAAAGGATCTCCCCCCGCACTCACCTGCGGTGGGAAGTGGAGTGATGTGGCCCCAGCCCGTCCCGCTTCCCTCGCCCCAGTCATGTAGCTTGGGGGAGGAGGTTTGGGGGGACGGATACCCCCCCGCACTCACCGGCAGCGGCGGGAAGTGGAGCAGCCCGCCCCCACGCCACTCTACTCCGCCAGCTACCAGCCGGGGCGCTCCACTTCCCGTTGCCCATGAGTGCAGAGGCCGATCCTTTCCCCGCACTCACTGGTAGCGGCAAGAAGTGGAGTGCCGCAGTGCGGGGGGAGATCCCTTACCCCAAACCTTCTCCCCTGAGCAACACGGTTGGGGTTGGGGTGAGGAAAGCGGAGCAGGCTCCTCCCGGTCCCTTGCTAATCCCTTGGGCCATTCTGGGCCTGTGGGGCCCCCAAAAGTGGCCCCCCACAGCTCCTGCCTCCCAGACCCTGGGGGGAGGTAGAGGCGGGGGGGCTACATAGGGCACCCAAATGGCTAGGGACGGCCCTGCCTGGATCCCAGGGAGCTGCCTCTGTCCTGGGCGCCTGAGACTGAGCAGAGATGTCACTGCAGTTCCTCAGTGTTTCAGAGTAGAAGCCGTGTTAGTCTGTATCCGCAAAAAGAACAGGAGTACTTGTGGCACCTTAGAGACTAACAAATTTATTAGAGCATAAGCTTTCGTCCACGTAACCTTATGCTCTAATAAATTTGTTAGTCTCTAAGGTGCCACAAGTACTCCTGTTCTTTCCTCAGTGTGTTTCTCATTTGCTTCCAGAAGCTTCAGCTCCCTGCTCCCTCTGCTGGGGCTGCTCCATTCTCAGCAGCACAGACACAGCCAGGAAGGTGTCAGAAGCTTTTGTTGAGGAGGGAACAGAGGAGGCAGTTACCAGCTTTATACCCCAGAGGGAAGCTCCGTCCCCTAAAGGCAGCCTCCAGTCCCAGGCCAGGGAACAGAGAGGAAGGTGCAGCACTGGGGAAGAGCTGCTTAAAACCAGAGAGTAGGAAGGGGAAGGGGGTAGCCCCATCCCCAGCCTAGAGAGAAGGGAGGAACTGCCAGCACCACAGGAAGAGCAGCTCCCCAATCCAGGAAGCAGCTCTAATGGGAGAGCCCAGCGCTGCCCAAAGGAAAGGCAGGATGTTGGAGAAGAGCGATGGGGAGACCCCCTGCACCATGGTAAAGCAGAGGGATCTGTCAGCCCTCAGGGCAGACAGCTCTGTTCAAGTGCTGCTCAGTGACAGTGTGTGGGGGGAGGGCATGAGGTCCTGCAGCCTGTGGCCCCACCCCATCTGCAGCCCCACTCCATTCCTCCCAAGTCCCCACCCCCTGGCCAGGCTGTTCTGGAATCTTTCTAGAAGTTGGGGAGGGCATGAGGTACCACTGCAGATGGCCCTGCCCACTTTGTGGCCCTGCCCCCTCCTCCTCTTCCCACCAAGCCCCTGACTCGGAGTCTTGGCTGCTGGGGGGATCCCCTGCCGCTCCACCTGCCCAGTGTGGGTTTCTGTGGGGCCTGAAAGCAGCCCCTGGCCCATGTCCCTGCTCCCTGGAGTGTGCCACTCAGGGCACGTGGAGGGTGCAGGGCTCCCCAGAAGAGCCGTAACTAGGTATTTTTGCACCTGAGGCAAGAATATAAAATTGTTCCCTCCCCCAGAGCTAGCTCTTTGGCGGCAATTCGGTGTCAGGTCGCTCAGTCCCTCTCAGAGGGAAGGGCCTGCCGCCGAACTGTCGCCGAAGAATGAATGAAGTTGCGGCGGTAGAGCCTGTGATTTTGGGGGGGTCAACTCATATTTTTGACTGCTTGGGCTGGTAATGTTGCTTCCAAGG